GGGCCGTGTCACTGGCACCACTGCCTAGGCCAACATGACCACCCTGGCACACTTGCGACCACGAGCGGAATGCCCAGACAGCGTCTGGGCTTATCACTGGGGGTGGAGCCAGACTGGGAGTAGAGGGGGTGGGGAACACAGGTGGTGCTGGGGGTGGAGAAGGGGGAATAAAAGGAGAGAGATGCCAAGGGGCCAGGGAGGAGAAACGTGCGACGGAACTGAGCTGAGAGAAACGGAGAGAGAGAGGGAGAGGGATAACGAGAGGCGTCCTGCGCACGCTGGCAGAGGGACTTAAAGGGTGGCGTTAACCCTTTCCCCTGCCTATCTGAGGCCCCACGGTAAACTCCTCCTGAATGAACTCCCTCCAACTCCCAGGACCGTCTGCCCTGGTGGGTAGCCAGATGCCATGGCCACAGGCGGGTCAGCTCCCGGGCCACAGACAGAGCCTGACACCAGATACAAACAGAATATGGCTCATGCCTGGTCTCATGCCTGGATTTCAGTTACTAAAACAGGCTTGACTCCTAAGACTGATCCTTATATTCAGGATAAATTAAGTGGCCAGTAAAAACCTAATTCCAAACTTGGACCAACTATGGATAAAAAAAACAACCTCACAGTGGGGTCAGGTGCGGAAAGATATTTCTACAAACTTGTGAGAATTCCCAGGTTTGTTGAAAAATCCTAAAAGTTAAAACAACAGGGGATTTACTCCCTCCCCACAAGTGCAATATGTGCTCAGGTGCACACATTATAGCTTGAAAAAATGTTGACCAAGTTACCACAAGAAGCAGCTGAGGAGGAAAAGCAGAAACTGGGATGGGAAAATGGAAAGATGGATGGAGGAACCTAAAGTAGGTATAGGAAAGTTGGAGATAAAGAGTGGTGCCAGTTGGGTTGGGGGCGAGCAAGAGGGGACAGGGGAGAAAAATCAGTGATGGGGAGCAAGCAACGGGAAGCCAGCAGGGGATATAACTCCCTCTCTTTTGTGAGGCCTCATGGGGCTCCCTCTTTTGCCTTATTTCAAGAAAGTTTCCCGAAGAGCCAAAAGAGATGGTTTGGTTTCCAGAAATTCTAAAGTGAAATACCTAGAGTCATAGCATCTTGGCTTAACAAGCAGTAACAGTTCTTATTTTTGTTGAGGATGCTAGAATAATGTTTGTTTCTTTATTTTTATTTATCAGATTTATACCTTACCCTCCCAGTAGAGGCCGGCTCAGTGGTGAAATCTCCATTATGATCTGGTGGTAACTTGGACCTTGGCCAAGTGAATAAATTTATTGTCCCCTTGTTAACACTGACATGTCTGCAAGGTCGTTTAGCAGAAAGGTAGCCTCCCTCCATGCTTACCCCCTCCTGTTATTTTCTGTAGCCAGCAGTTTGGATGTTGACTTTACTATCTCTGGAGTTGAGCCTTGTTCACCCTCTTCCTGTATGGGAGGGGAAAGAGATCTTTCTGCTATCCATTGGGGCACCTGTTGGTCAGTCACACATAGCTTCCAGCCTAATCATGTCAATATCTAGCTGGGACAGTCAGGGCACAGAGCTTCTGGGGGTCCAAAACAATACAGTTTCCAAAGGAAGGTGTAAGGACATGCTTAACTTCCTCTTGTTAGAGTAAATTGGACTTAAACATGCTTGGCGTGGGCTGAATTGTGAATTTCAAATTTGTGCATAACCAACTTCTTTATCTAGATGCACATATCCAAAAATCTTACTTCATCTTCCCACCATTTTAGTTAGTGAAAAAATACGAAGTACTATTATTATGACAAGATCATTAAAACGAAAAACGCAGGTTTGAGCCTTAGCTTTCTCTAACAAAAAACTGACAACTGAAACAACAAAAAACTCACATACAATATTTACTGTTTATTTTTTCTAAAAGTCTAAAATAATGATTTTCTTATATTGGGTCAGATCTATGAGTTAGTTTATCTAATAGAAGCACACATCATCAAAATATTCATTTTCTAGTTAAAAGGCCTGCATGATTTAGAATAGTCAACACTATATCTTGTTTGGGATGCAGAAATAGGTATATTTTGAGATTCAAAATTGTCTAGGTCAGGGGGAAAATTATATTTAAATACGGTTCTCTGTGAGGGGGAAAAAAATTAATAAGGCCACAGGGAAACCCCCCCCCATACTACAGTATCCATGCCAAAATCTTATTATGTGAAATAAAGAGGGCAAACTAAGATATGTATCTTCTCCTCAAAGAAACACTTGTTTAATACATATCATTGTCTTGCATCATGTGTCAATATAAAATTGTATTACCAAATGGGCAGATAGAATACAATTTTTAGTAAAAATGACCGGAGCCACTCAAACACGGGCTTCCAGTTGCCAGCTCAATAGTGTCCCTCACCCCCCCTTGTCCTTTCATCTTCTGAATTCAAAGACAGAAGCTACACAAAAGCAGTCATTGAGCTGTCACACACTGCTTTCCAATGAGACTTTAGTGTTAGTTCTCATGAAAGACTATATAATCCCATCTGTTATGATCCGTTAAGGGAAGAAACTGGCTGCACATAATAAAATAATATAATAATTCACAGCAAATGGCAGTGTGAGGAGACCTTGTGAAGAGAAAATGTACTGTATGCTGTTATCCCATGTATCTCTCCTGTTACAGCTATCACCATCCACATTGAAAAAGAAAAGGATCTGCGACTCTGGACAGAAAAGTAAAATTGGTACCCTGCGTACCAAGTATGTCTTGGGGCATACTTTATGTAGGAAGGTTGTTTTGACATAGGATGTCAAGTCAGCACTGAAGGCTGAATATTTAAGTGCCACTCATTCAAACTATTATTTGTGGGTTTAAATACGCATAAGCATCTTCTGCTGCCACCATCATGCCTATGTAAAAGTGACAAAGGACCAACTACAAAGAACATTCTGAGCAATACATAAATGGAAAGTGCTGAACATGAAATGATAAAACGAATTTCACTGGGAAAGTTGGTCAAAATATAACACACACATCCCTTTGCAGTGAACAGCTAATTTGCTACAGTTTTTTTGCTATTCTACATTATGCTGAAATAAGTGGTCCGAGTGCCGTATCTATTTTGAAATGGATGGCAAGCTTCTTTTAAAAATGAGGTACTCAGTGGGATCTAGTGGCTTTGGTTTGGCTGTGGGAAATGCAAGTTAATAAGTGAAATGAATTTCTGGTTCAAATTTCCTTCCCAAAGTTTGTAAATGTACTCTGTGTGTGCGTGTGTGTGCGCGCGCATAGTCTTAAAATGAATCTGATTATAGTCTTAAAATGAATCACAAGGCTTAAAGACTATTGGGAGTTGAATTTTAAATGCAAACTTCAAAAAACATTTTATTTTCAACAAGTAGAATTCAAATTCTGAAGTGCTGCCAAAATACATTTTAAATTTCATGATAGCTCTATTACTTAGTTATGAAATTAGTTGGGAGGGTTTCAGCCTTGCAAGACTGTGAAACATAATAATAGTTTTCAATTTCAGATAGAATAAAAATATGGAAGATGAGGTATGGCAATTGGCCCATAAGTGCAGAGAAATTCTCTCCATCTTTATTACACTGAGTGTGGGGCAGAAAGTGTAGGGCAGTCGCTTGGAGTGAGTCAAGATTCAAATCCTCGGTCGTGGGCCTGCCTGCCAAGAACTCCTTGGATGAGGAAGAGATGAAGGAAGGTGGCCCCAGCCCTGGATGCTGCAGGAAGACCCACCAGACAAGGTGGAGACTCCATCAGGTGCAGACAGGGCGGCTCAGACGGCAGGCAGCATGCCACACCCTCAGGCCTTCAGCCCAGGATAGGAAGCTGAAGCAGAGGCCCTGCAGCCGCCAGTCTCACCCCCAGGGTCACCAGAGCCCTTGGAATGCTGGAGAAGGCAGGCCTGAAGTACAGGAGCGATGCCACAGAGCGTGGTTGGCAGGCCAGCACCTGGCAACCTCTGCCTGTGAGTTGGAGACACTGCAGGATCAGGGCTGAGAGCCCTGTAGTCTGCTCAGCCACTGAAGACCTACACCTGTCCCTGGATGACTCAGCAGGTTGAGGAGTTGCACATGACCTTGAATGACTCCTGATAAAAGCAGCCAGAAAAGGGACAGCCAGTGTGGAAGCAACTAGGGGCTGTGGCTCTCCATGTGTTTTGACCATCTGGATTCTGACTTTGTTTGTGCTCTTTGAATTTCCCCTTCTGGCTTGATGCTTGGTTTGGATTGCAGAAATCTGAGAGAGAGCTGAAACAAAGCATAACTAGACAGAAGATGGGAAAGTGGGTGCCAGAACTGGACCATGTGCCATCCCTAGCATATCAGCATCAGCCATGTAAAACCTAATCAGCATTGTCAAAGTAATCACCTATACAGAAAGTAGAGAATGCTTGTGTATAACAGCTGTTGTGCTGCCCTTTGCTGTGCTCAAGCATCCTTTGATCAGGGCCAAGAGGACTTGTATTGTAACCCTTTGGGCAAAGACCATGTCACTTCTGAATTCTTTATAACACTTAATATAACGTTAGTGCTGAAGAATGTTAAATACTAATGGATGACCTATTAGAACAACTTCAACTTCTAACAACCAGTGCTCCCATGATTATATAAAGGTAGAGAAACACATTAGTGAAATGGCAGAAGACAAAAATCAATATGATACTATTCTTCCTAGCTATAAAACTATACAGGAAAGTAGATTAGGTCACAGAGGTTATGGGAATATCGCTATACCTTAAAAAAAAAAACCCACAAGGACCTAATGAATAATCTTTATGGATAGACATCCCAATTCATAAAACTACTACTATGATTAGGTTGCTGGTCTCCAGATTATGAGAAAGACAACGGGTGACCTCAATTGACAGATTCAGAGGAAGAAATCAAATGACAATGGATGGGTTTTCTCACGTAAATTTGTCATGCCGTGTATTGTTTCCTCCAAGATGAGCTACTCTTGCCTGTGCAAGTATACTTCAATTTGCAAATAATCCACTTAAAAACAAAAATGTCAGAACCTACAGCAAGGAAATCCAGCCCTTCTTTGTTGTAAATGAACAGAAGTAATCCATTCAGCTGATCGGTCTTAAATGTAAAGGAGATCTCAATGTCCAGGCCACCACGCAGAAGATCTGAATGGAGTTCCAGGAAACCTTAAGGGGAAAAGGAAGGAGGGTATCAAAGTAGACAATGTTATGTTACAGTTGCTATAATTATTATATATGGGAGAATTCAGAATTGTATGCAATAAACACAAGGCTCAGTTGAGTCTCATATTTTTCAAAAAACTATAAAAATATGTATGCTGCAATCTATACAATAGAATACAAGATTAGCTCCATTCATGCAGACTTCCTCATTCCAGTGTGCATGTCTTTCTGAAATGAGTGGGGAAACCCTGTCAAGTGGAGAGTAGAGGCTGCACAGCAGCCCTGTCCTGAATAATGAATGGCTTTGATCTAGTATGGTTAGCTGCATTCTCAAGAGTTATTCTATTCTCCAAACATGAGTCCAGGGGCTGGAACAATTCACCCCTTTCATGGAGATCAGATCCTATGACAAAGCTGATAAAATACGGAGCATGTGCACTCTGATGGTATGAGATCATTCTTGGAACAAGAGATGCTATATGGGGGTGGCCAAACTTGCTTCACATAACAGCCATGCAGAATAAACGTCAGATGTCTGAGAGCCGCAAGACATGAACAAATATTACACAGACATTTTTATTGAAAAATATGCAAATTTGCTTTTTATTAAAATTAAATTAGACTGTGCAAAAGAGCCAAATGTGGTTCCCAAACTGCAGTTTGGCCACCCCTGTTATAGTAGCCATGTTGCCATTCCCATGAACACAATCATAACACTTCTGACTTACTCTCAGTGGGGTACTAAGAAGAGCTGCAGTGTACTAGCTTCCATATCTCTGTAGGTGGCTAATTTAGTGAGCCCAAGAGCGATGGAGATGCAGATCAGGGTCTCATTGGCTATGGCTTTGAGATTATATATGAGCAGCTGCCCCAGAAAGCTTGACCCCATTATCTTGTATGTGACCTACAAACCATGGCTTGGATCCAGCAATGCTCAAGAGGAAACATAAATGGATAGTGCAGTTCCACTTGTACAAAATCTTGTGGAACACTTAGTGCTTTCCTCCCTATCTATTACAGTACCCATAAATTACTTGCATAAGATCTTGTGCAAGTGGAAACACAAATGGGTATACAATAAGTATGTCTTAGTGCAAGTGGCTACCACAGTCCTTTTCTTGCTTTTCCATTTACCAAATAGTACAAGCAAAATTTTTGTGCTGGATCCAACTTCAAATATGGTTAGGTAAACAACTGAGAGGCTATATAATGGCTGGATTTTCTAGGAGTTTTTCAGAACGTAAGGATTTGTACTTATTGTATCTTTAAATTTTTAGGTACATATTAGCTCATTATAGTTCAAGTGTCCCCCCAACCCCCCCCCCAATAAATAATAAACTGTCGTCCACAACATTTAGACAAACAAACAACAAAATCACAGGTGGAACATCAAACAATTTTAACATGTTATATACCTTTCCCGAGAAAATGTACTCCACTTGCAACAACACTAGGACACCCTTCCCAGCTTTGATAAACATTTCTTTGCTCCGTAGCTTCTTGCCATTTTAAAGGTTCCCAAACTTCATATGGATGGTGCACCTTTTTCAAAAACACATCTCTGAGACAACCCACAAAGCCTTTTGTGACTACTTGAGTAAAGCCTGTCCAAAAAATTGAAAACTTCATTGATTAGTACTCATGTCATGAATTCATTGGAATTAAAATGTGAGAATGACTTATTTTATAACTTTATATAGACAGGACCTATTAGCTATGGTACTGAAATTGCAGAATCACAGATTTAGGTGTTTAGCTCTGGAAAGCAAGTGACCACTTATCCCTTGTAGCAGCTCTGAGCCTTAACCTCAACCCAAGCCCCAGAGCAGCACTGTCATGGGCAAGCCAGCTGTCTCCTCCGCTGAGGATGACAAAATGGAAGAATCAGACCCTGCACCAATGAAATGCCTGCCTGAGCAGGTGGGTCTAGAAGCAGATTCAGTGAAAGAAGCATCAGGAAGCAAGAGTTGCTTGTTCTGGTAAGAGATGAAAGAAATGGGACAGAGATCAGAGCATCAGTCACTGCTGGCTTCTGCAGAAAGCAGAACACAGAGCGAGGGCTTGACAGTTTGAGAGAGATTAAGAAGAGCCTGTTTAATGGCACAACAGCAATCCGTGCTAATTCCTGGAGCAGAGTTGTTACAGGAGCAGGAATGACATGCTGGTAAGGAGCAACACCTGGGCTTTGGGGGAATGAGGTAGCTAATGAGGCAGATAAAAGGAACACATTGAACAAGGCTCAATGTGGAAACAACTTTGCTTGCCACCTCCTCTGTAAGCTGACCCACACAGTGAACTGATTACTACCTTGTCTTGCTGCCTTGCACCCTGTCCTGCTAACCTGTGCTTGCTTTTCCAGCTAGAATTCAAGACCCCATTTCTTACCTTGGCTTCCAGGCTTAGGACCCTGGGCTCCAGACCTTCCTGTTCTCCTGACCTGTGGACTGAACTTTTGGTTCCCTGACCCTGTGCTAGTTTGTTGACCTTGCTTGTATCTCTTGCCTTAATTGTGATTACATTTGTGCATCCTGGAGACCCCAGGTGGAGTAAAAGTGGCAGGCTCTGCCTTGAATATGACATTTACAGTGATTGATGGCATTTGCTTTTGTGCATTCTGGAAATCCTGTGTGGAGTAACAGTGCCAGGCTCTGCCCTGAATGCAACAAGTGCAAAGAACTTGGGGTGTGTGTGCAAGTTTAGAGAGTGGCCACCACAGCCTTTGACTTGGCATGTGCCATCTACTAACTTGAACACAATGATGTTTATTTATTTATTTATTTATTTATTTTTGGATTTATATCCCGTCCTCCCCGAAGGCTCAGGGCGGCTAACAATGAGGCACAAGTGCCAGAATTAAAACAGATAAAACAGTCTAAAACCATAAAACAATACAGTACAACAACAAAGTGTCAGTGCAAGATGGGGTAGAACTTCCTCAAATGGTATTGGTCCCACAACTTGTCAGCACCCTCTCCTTCCAGGGTCACCTCGCACCCAGATGGAACCACATATTAGTGGTAGTGGTGCGATGCTGCAAACATATCGGTGGTGGAATTGAAGTGGCGGCGGCTCCTACTCAAAAGCCTGGTGGAAGAGCTCCGTCTTACAGGCCCTGCGGAACTGAGAAAGGTCCTGCAGGGCCCGGAGCTCCTCCGGGAGCTCCTTCCACCAGGTAGGAGCCGCCACCGAAAATGCCCTGGGCGCTCTAGTAACAGCAAATTTAATATCCCTGGGGCCTTTTATTTCCAGGAGATGTTGACTCCCCGACCGTAGTGCCCTTGGGGGAACATATGGGGAAAGCCGGTCCCTTAGGTAAGCCGGACCCTGGCCATACAGGGCTTTAAAGGTAAGAACCAGCACTTTGAAGCTGATCCGGTACGCTATTGGTAGCCAGTGCAGCGCTTTCAGCACATGTTGTTTTAGCTTCTGTGATATAAACAGTAACCATATACCACAAAAGCTAAAGAAATGCACTACACTGAATTTTGAATATAACATTTCAGTTTATGCATTTATTTATGCATTTTAGAAATTTCACCACAAGCAAGTTAAAATGAAGAATATAATGGAAAAATTATGCATTGTAAAGATTCTTTAAAATGTAGATATGATACACAAGCAAAGGAAGGAACTTCTAAATCACCTAGGGACATTTCATGTGTGTCAAGTGAAAAGTTACAAGCCTTCTCACCTGTGTCTTTTCTTAGGATTGTAAAACTCTGTGGAAGTCCTCCAATAAAAACTCCTGTGCTCTCACCAATGATGGTACTACCACTAGTAGCTGAAGAAGAACCTAAAAAACAGGAGAGTGAGTTACTTCATTCTGTACTGTTGTAAGCTACAGCATCTTACCCATACATTTACTACTCTAGAATAAAGTGCACAATGAAATTTATAACAAAGAGTACAAGATGAAGATGGGAAACTTGGTCTTAAGAAAATAGTATTAGCATGTTGTACTAGCAAACCTCCTTGCAGTAGTGGTATCTGGGCAAAGGGAGAAACCAGAACTACTCTAGGGGCTCCTCCCAGCCCTATGTTTTAATCAGTATTTTTGTGTGTTTTTGTATATACATTATCATTTGGCTTTAATTGTTTTATGATGCGTTTTACAATGTTGTTAGCTACCATAATTAGGGATAGGCACAAACCAGAAAAATGCAGTTTGTGGCCAAACCACAAACTAAATTGAACCACCATATTCATTTGCAAACTGAATTGGTTCATGGTTTGTGGCCCCACAAACCCTGTTGAAAGGGACTACAGTACCTTTAAATAGGGTTTGCAGAAAGCCTGAAAAACAGCTGGGAGGTGAGGACCAACCTGCTCCCTACTGCTCAGCAGCAGAAACAGCTGATCAGCAGACCACACAAAAAAGCCAGAAACATCTGTTCCCTGCCACAAATGTGAGAAATTCCACAGGCTTTCAGAAAAAAACTGAAATCTAAAAACATACACTGAAGAGGGGGGTTTAACTCCCCCAATAGTAGAAGCAGCACCTAGTGCTTTAAGAAACAAATGCCCTTTCTGTAGTAGATGTGTGGGCTGCTAGGCAACCAAGACAGTATTGCCAGCCTTTAAATCTTGGTTTCCATTAGTAAAAGGCAGAAGGAGGGGGCATGGCCCCTTTCAGGGCTTCTTTGGCCTTAGGGAGGCCTGGCAGCGACCACAGGCCAAATTGCTACAATGTCTCACCTAGGACTGGCTGCTTCTACTGTTCAACAGCAGCAACCCCAAAAAAGTCAGTGATGTGTAGTGGTTAGCATTTCAACTACGTTCTGACAGACCCAGGTTTCAGTCCCTACCCTGCCATGGTAGCAGGGTTGCAGACTCTGGGTTGCAAAATGCCAGGAGATTTGGGGGAGGGTTTCAGAGGGGTATAATGCCCTACAGTCCACTCTCCAAAGCAGCCATTGTCTCCAGGGGGAAGTGATCTCTGTCGTCTGGAGATCACTTGTAATTCCAGGAGATCTCTAGGCCCCACTTTGAGGTTGGCAACCCTGCATGGAAACTCCTGTCTGATAAACAGGTGGCAATGTTGGCCAGGGTGCCTCTCACCAACTTTGGCCGGTGAGCCAGCTGCAGTCCTTCCTGGGTGGAAAAGATTTTGCCACCATGATGCATGCTCTGGTAACATCTAGATTAGATTACTGCAATGCACTGTACATGGGGATGCTCTTGAAGACTGTCTGGAAGCTGCAGTTGGTACAGAATGCTGCAGCCAGAGTGCTGACTGGAGTGGGTCATAGAGTCTATATCACTCTAATCTTGTTCTACCTACACTGGCTCCCAATTTGCTTCCAAGCTCAATGCAGTGTGCTGCTATTGACCTTTAAAGTCCTATATGGCCTGGGACCAACATACTTTAAGGATCACCTTCTCCCATATCAACCTATCTGTTCACTCCAGTTGTCTTTACAAACCCTTATTTGGATGCCACCGCCATCTGAGTCTAGATGGGTGGTGACCTGATAAAGGGCTTTTTCAGCTATGTGTCAGCAAGCTGCCATGGTGTTCTGTGTGACTCTGATTTGTACATATGTGCTCCCTGTCCCTGCCAGCTGGCCATTATGTTTTCCTGCTGTAATGCTAAAGTAAAACAACTGGAGGATGTGAGGGGGAGAGTATGCTTCAATGCTAGCTTGTTGCTTATTAAGCCTGAGAACGGCACCTGTGTTATGTCTACAGTTCGCCTAGTTCCCAGGGCCTGGGCGCGGAACCGTTTTCTCCTGCCCGCCAGCGGGAATGTTACCCATTGGTTATGTATCTAACTTGAATCCCTTTATCATGTCTGCCCTAACTGCTTGTACCCAGTTCTAACAAGGAACGTGTTTGAGTGTCTTTCCAATGCTTTGAAATAAATTTTGCTTTCTTTGAAACGTGGATTTATTCTCGATGCTTGGGGATCCAACATATTGTTAGAACTCTCTTTCTCCTATCGTCCCGATTCTGGCGAGACCATGAGCGGGTCTGAGGGAAACCTATCTACTACGGAGGGGGACACGGGATCGGTCCCAACTACCACCGCACCTTTGGAAGGGGCTGTGGGGGGAACGATTCCCCGACTACCTGCCTACCTGTCTTGGCCGCCTCCAACCCCTTCGCATTGGGGTGAGCGGAAGACTCCTGCGCAGGATGATTGGGCTTTGTACAACACACAAGGCACCCGGGAGGTGTACTCCCGTCGAGGCAGTGGGCTTCGAGAGAGTCTTTTTGACAAAGGACTGTTTCC